TCCCGGACCGAAGCTGGCTGGGTGCGTCACTTCCTCCCGGAAGCAGGCCTGGACGGATGTCTCCGGCGCGTCCGTGCAGGGGACTGAGGGCCGCGGTGGCTGCCAGCGTGGGATTGAGTGAGGGGCCGGCGGGCTCCGCCCGCAAGGGCCGCCTCCTCCGCCCTCCGGGCCCCGCTCGGGCGGCGCCGGGGGCCCGGCTGTTACGGCTCCCGGGGAACGGGGCCGTGCGGGCCGCAAGCCCGGAGCGCGCCGGTTGGACCGAGGCGCTGCGGGCGGCCGTGGGCGAGCTGCGCTCCGGCGCCGTGGTGGCCGTCCCCACCGATACGCTGTACGGCCTGGCGTGCTCGGCGAGCTGCTCGGCGGCACTGGACGCCGTGTACCGCCTCAAGGGCCGCAGCGAGGCCAAGCCGCTGGCCGTGTGCCTGGGCCGCGTGGTCGACGTCTACAGGTAAGGCTTCCCCGGCCCGGCCCGGCCCCGCTGGGGGCGGCTCCGCGGGAGGGGCTTCCGGTGACAGGCTTGGGAGACTGAGGCGCCGGGAGCGGGAGGGGCCTGCCGGCTCGCCCAGGAATCCGGAACTGGAAATATGTGTCGGCCACTTCACGTCGGCCAGGCCCTCGGCGAGAGGCTGCGGCGCCGCCACGAACCAGGCCGGCCAGGCCCCTCTTCTGGCGTTGCTGTGATTGATGGGGGCGGGGCGGGGAACGCCCACGGTTAAAGGGAAAAGGAAAAGGAAACAGTAGCTTAATTTAGCCGGGAGGGCTTTGAAGAGGAAATAAAACTCGGACGGGATAGCCGCGCAGCCGTTGTAGTTTCGGAGACCGAGGCGTGTGGGCCCCAAGCTTGGGGTGCTTCTCCGGAGCCCAGGCTTCTGCTCAGGCTCGTAGGTGAAGAGGGAAGACGCATGGATCCCGCTGTAGCCCCGAGGGCCCCCTCTTCTGGATCTGCTAGAGTCTGGACCGGGACCAGCAGTGCCCTTCATTCGTGGGTAGAGCTGTGCCCCTTTGTTTACCAGGTACTGTCATGTGAACGTACCCGAGGGGCTCCTCAACGACCTGTTACCAGGACCAGTGACCCTGGTGATGGAACGCTCGGCGGAGCTCAACAAGGACCTGAACCCCTTCACTCCCGTGAGTCGAATTTTCTCTCGTGTCTCCCTCCCATTGGGCTTTCACACGGACCCAGGCTGGACCCGTAACCCACTCCTTCCATCCTTTCTCATGGCCCCCTTTCTCCCTGCTTCATAGCTTGTAGGCATCCGGATTCCTGACCATGCCTTCATGCAGGACCTGGCCCAGATGTTTGGGGGGCCACTTGCTCTCACCAGTGCCAACCTCAGCTCCCAGCCCAGTTCTCTGAATGTGGAGGTGAGAGTTACCTAGTTGTTGTTCCATCCCCGAATGTCGTCAGGCCTAACACAGTTTTCTCTGAACCAGTGGGGTTGGTGGTTTGCTGGAATTGCCCGACAGGAGAGTTTAATGATGGGAAGTCTGCCCAGTTGGCAGGGGTTGAGTTGGGGGAAATCCAAGGTAAAGAATCTTGGAAAGGTTTTATTACAAAGCTTGAGAAGGGGGCATAGGAGGGATGATGAGTCTTTTCTTTCTATCCTATATAATAAAAGGCTAATATGCAAATTGTCCCCTTGGGAGTTTGACCAACCAGAAATTTGACCACTCGCTATGACGTGCACTGACCACCAGGGGGCGGTGCAGAACAAGGAAGGCCCTAGGGACTCTACCCATGCACGAATTTCACGCACTGGGCCTCTAGTCTTTTTAATAAGAAACATGATAAGTATAATTGTTTTTCCCCTTGTAGGGGTAGCAGTTATTGGAGAATAAGGCGGTAAGTCTTTACAACAGTGCTATAAAGGAAGTTAAGGCTCCAGAAAGTTAAATCACTTGGCCCAGGGACTCCTGACTCTTACCTCTGCCATGAGCCAGGTCAAAGGATCATCCTAATCCTGTGTTAGCTGCATAGCTTGGAACAAATGAGGACACAGAGAAATTCAACTTAGCACACTGTTTTCTTCTTACTGAACTTAAATGCAGAACATAGCAAAGGGATGTGGTTTTCCATGCCCGGACCTAGAGAGTGGGTTCAGGAGCCTGGGAAAGTGAGAGCTCAGCATCCCTTCTTATTCCCAGACTGCAGGCTTTTACTTGGTCCTGGTGGCCATACTCAAGGCGGTGGGGAAGGGGATGGCGGGAGGTATTCCTGCCTGCTCAGCAAACAGTTGACCTATCCAACTGGTATTCCCCCATTCCCAATTCCCAGGCCCATCTTCATAAGGGGTGAGGGCAGGGATGAGGGGGAGTGGGCGATGCTGTAGCTAAGAAGGGAGTACCCTTCCCGTAGCCCAAGGATTGAGTGTTGGTGGCATGCACTTACAGAGTCCACCCCGTTTCCTCTCCGTACCGTGATCCACAGTTCCCCTGAGATCCAGGATCGGAGTGCTAGAGCTGGAGGGACCCTTAGGGAGCATCTGTCCAGCTCCCTTATTTTACAGCCGTAGATAAAGTAACTTGAATGTGGTCATAGCGAGATTTGGAGGAAATTCCAGGGTAGAGCCCATCCCTTTGGGCTTCCACCTTGGACTCCAGTCATTGTGCTTACAACTCCCCAACAGAAATGATGTATGGAATTTCTTCCTGGCACAGCAAGATACTCTTTGAGCTCTAGATAGATGTTACTTGGGGTGCTGATGTGGGGGAGGGGACCTCAAACCTCATAGGATGTAGTGTCCTTAGCATAGCTGACCTTAATTAATTGAGGTTCCTTCCCCTCTTATAGGAATGTGCCTCCTGGTTTGGGATTGTGTAGCCTTTGTCTTGTGAACCCTGCCTGCACTGTGACGACATTGCATGGGGTTAGTGTCCATGCTCTTCCTCTCCCTCTTCTTAGGAGTTCCAGGACCTCTGGCCTCAGCTGTCCTTGGTAATCGATGGGGGGCCAATTGGGGATGGCAAGAGCCCCAAGTGTCGCCTCGGCTCAACTGTGGTTGACTTGTCTGTGCCTGGAAAGTTTGGCATCATTCGTGCAGGCTGGTGAGTCTGTCTCCTATGCTGTGGGGACAGAATTTGAGGGAGGTTGGGAATGCAAAAGTGGCCTTGACAAAATGCAGGTTGTCACACTCTCTTGCCCTGACAACCTTTATTTTGGAGAAGTGGTGGGTGGAGTGAGACTAAGTTTGCTGGTGGTTGCTGTTTCTTTCAGGATTCGAAAGGATTCTTCAAGGGTTTGATGAACAGAGTGCAGTAAGACCAGAGAGTTAGAGCTCCCTGATCACTGGACTCTGGTGGGCTTTGAGAAGTCAGACTCTTAACTGTCCTCATTTCCTCCTCAGTGCCCTGGAAAACACTACGGATGTCCTCCAGAGGAAGTACGGGCTGCTCCCTCACAGGGATCCTGCTGAGACTTGAGAGGCAGGAGTGCCCAGGGACTGATGCTGGACACTACGTTTCTTGTCTACCAGTGGATGGCAACGCCTCACTTGAGAGGCCACTGGGGCCACAGCGTCACTAGTCTGACTTTGAAGGCAGTTTATCTTTATGAGCACTGTAACAGGCCCCAGAAGCTGGTTTAGCTTCACTCCTGGGGAAGGGGGCTATATTTATTGTCTATAATTTCATATGTCAGCCTAAAGCTGAATAGAGACTTTAAGAACATTCCTAGGATGCTCTTATTCTAATAAGCTTCTTCTTTCCCTCTCTTTTTTTTTTTAAAAAATTCTTGATATATAATTTAAATAACATTTGGAATCTAGTGAGAGTTGGTGGCATTTAAGGTCCAAATAAGCTAGAGTGCCAGTTGGTGCTGTTTAAAGGACTCAAGTGACCAAAGGCTTGAGTTGTGTGCTCCTGAAGCTGGAACCAGGTTAACATAAAGACTGTAGAGTAACAGGCCAAACACACTTTCCTCTGAACCAGGGGCTGGTGGGGCGGCATGCTGCATTGCCTGGCAGAGGGTCGTCGCTTTCTACTAATGGTGGGAAGTCAGCTCGGTTGGCAGGGAGTGGGGTGGGGGATCCAAATTAAAGAGTATAGGAAAATAAATATCTATCTTCAGACAGTGCCTTTTTTCTTATTCATAAAATACATTATAATGATACCATTATTTAAACCTAGTGTCCACTCAGCAGCCTTTATCTGCATTCATATGTATACCATGTATTAAACATAGTTATTGTTGGGCATTTGAACTTGTTCTTTCATAGGAAATAATGCTTCTATTAGACATCTTTGAAAATGGTTTGTTTTTCTTCTTTGAATTATTTCCTTGGGGTAGGATTACTGGGTCAAAGTATATGAACATTTTTATGGCTCTTGATACAGATTAGCCTTCGAGAACTGAATCCGGTTGCCATCAGTGATGTGAGAATTACTACCCCCATCCCCTGGAGCACTGCCATGCTTTTGGTATTTTTCAAATTGTATATTTGTGAAATGAGGCCTCAGTGTTACCCCTTCTGTAAATTACAGGTCACCCCATCCAGCCCTTTTCACCTGTCCCTGCTTGCCTTGGTTTCCCCAACTAAGTCACAAGCAGGTGACCAGGCCTACCCCGTCCATCAGTGGGGTTTAGTATCAGTTACCTCACTGCAACTGGGAGTCCTTGTGGTACCCAGTAGGGCCCACTACCTCCCCTCTGCCTTGCATCCCAGTTCCCAGAATTGGGATTCACTCTTGAGCCCATAAACTTTTCAATATAGTGGTTTGCAATGTACATACAGTGGGGCCTTGACTTACGAGTTTAATTTGTTCCGTGACGGAGCTCGTAACTCAAATTACTTGTATGTCAAATCAAAAAGTGAACGAGTGAGACACGTGATGCTGGGCTGATGTGGCGTTCACTGTGACGTTCGCTGCGCCAACTAGTGGTGGGATATCTGAAGCTGGCTCATAACCCGAATTTTAGCTCACAACTCAAAAAATCGGCTGAGAGACGGCTCATATCTCGAAAAACTCGTTAGTCGGGACACTCGTAAGTCAAGGCCCCACTGTATTTTCAAGTAGATCCTAATAATTTGCCAAAAAGGTGTCCCAGGGCCTGCTTTGAGTGTCTTTGCAGTTAGCACATTAGTTTATTTGTAAAGAACCAATGGTTTGTTAAATATTCCCTCCAGCAATCTTGCTAATTTCTTAAGCAACCTCCCTCTCCACTGTGCTAACACTAGTCATCCCTCATGTCAGTCTCCAAATCTGACTACAGGGCCAGAATTTGTGAAGTCTTGAAGAGAGCAAGAGGAATGCTTACTTGAGAAGACCACATTGTTTAATAATACAAATCACAGTAGCACTGAAAATGGCTCTAGTGAATGGGCCTCATTCCATTTAGGCAGCTAAAGGGAGGGGGAAGTCCTAGTCCTCTCCCTGAAGCTAAATGTTCATCTGGGAAAACGGAGGATTGAGCACAGAGGTATTTTCTTAGGGAAAACAGAATGCCCAGCAGTGGGTAAAACTGCAAAAGTAAAACCTATAGCTGTGCTTCTGCACCAGCTATAAGGCCATACCAAATGAGGGAAGCTGGGTCCTGTAAGGAAGATGAACCGTTTCTGGTCATTTGCTCCTGGTAGTAAAGTGGTGTTAGTCTGTGTTGAATTAATGTGTGAGTGCCCAGGATTATTTCCTGAAAATTGGGTTCAGGAATCTATTGGAAATAGCTTAAACCTAGAATTTCCCTTTTAGAAAGTCTCAAGTATGGTTCCCTAACTTGGACAAGATGGTCAATGTGGGAAGGAGGCCTGAAGAGAGGGCAGGGGTGGCAGAAGGGAGCAGGGTGCATGCTAGCCCAGAACCCCGACACCCTTCCTAGAGCAGTGGCTTGGCCACTCCACCACACCACAGCAACCTGCTGGGTTCAAAGCCAGAGGGATTATTTCAGTGTCTCTGAGGATGTGAAGCTTCCCTGGGCTACATCCAGTCACCTGCCAGCCTCTACAGTTCCCTCTGCAGCACTGCCGTTTCCTGTCGCTGCAGAGCAACCCAGAACCACTTGCCTGAGGAACAGGCTCTGTTCCTCCATGGGCCCAGGCCTGATGGCCCACCCAGAGGCACCAGCTGCTGATAAGGGGACGGCGAGTGCCTACACCCTCGGCTGAGCCCCACATGGAGACAGTATTCCAGTGAGGCGGGGACATCAGCACCTCGGGCCCCTCACATCAGCCACTGCTCCTTCTCTTTGATGAAGTGCTCCGCCCAGCGGCGAGTCAGCTCCAGGTACAGGCTGGGCTGATGAGGCAGGTAGTCCAAGTACAGACGAGTTGGCGTCTTCTTGGGAATGGCCTTCTCAATCTGGGTGCCCTCGTGCCACTCATTGAAAGAGGTGATGGAGACGATCTCGGGCCTCACTGTCAGGGCTGCCTGCAGGGCTGTCTCGTAGTACTTGCCATTGACCCTGTTCCGCGTGTTGTGGTTATTCCAGGGCCGGATGCTAGTGTCAATGTACCCAGGCCCCACACTGGGAATGAACATGAGGTTGTTGGCATCACAAAAGTTCTTCACAGCTTTCCAGTTCTGATGGGAAGAGCCGAAGGAGAAACCATTGGAGGCAAAGTAGGTGTACATGCCATCAAATCCGGCGGCCAGGATGTCATGGGTGTGGCCCTCCTCCACCAGCAGCGCTATGAAGACCCCATCATAGGGGGTGTTGCGGATTGAGTGCAGCCCATTTGGTGTCAGGAGATGGGCCCAGGCCTCGGGGGTTGTCAGGTATGAGTCGTAGATATAAAAGAGTGGGAGGCTCTTTCCCATGCTGTTCTTATAGCGGTAAAACGCACCATGGGAGCCATACCTGAGGAGCAGAGGAAGAAGCACCTGAGTGGCAGAAGCCAGCACCGCTGTGTCACCAGCCATGGACGAGAGCTTTCCGGATGCCCAAGCACAATTTTGGATCCAGCCAGTCTCCATAATTGGATTGTCATGCCTCTAAGCAAGAACTAGCTCCCTCCCGTCTCTCCCCAGCCTTGTCATTCCTTTAGTCAAGCCTCACCTCCCTGCCCCAGGCCAAGCCACATCACCTTTCATCTGGACTGCAGGCTCCCAATTTTACCTCCTTATAATCAGTTCTCTTTTTAAAGTCTAAATCAGATCTGATTGCTCCAAAACCCGCAAGGCCCCGCCTACTTGATCTGGCCCTGCCCACTTCCATTCCTGCTATTATCCCATCTATCTCTACACTCTGGCAACACTGGCCTTTCTAGCAGTAAACTTGTCCCAAACTATGACCTTTGGATCTGACAGCCCTCTGCCTGGAATTTCTGCCGTCCCGGATCTTCGCAGAGCTGCCTCTTCATTTAGGTGTCAGCCCACATGTCATCTCCTCAGAGAGCTCACTTGACCACCCATTCTAAAATATTTTTTGGACACACTCTAGCAAACAACACCCTGCTTTATCCTTTATTATTACTCTTCCATAGTATGGATCACTATTTGATTTTTGTGTGTGTAACTACTCTGTTCCACCGCACCCCCCACATACACTAGAATGCAAACTTTGCTAGTCCTACCTACTACCGTACAACGGGCTTAGGACAGTGCCTCGACAACTCAAGGCACTCAATAAATGTTTTTGAATGAATGATGTGCAAGCACTGTACAAGCCATTTTCACATATATTAACTCATGTAACTCTCATAAGACTCACACATTAAGAGGCTTGCCATGTAGCTCAGTGGTTGAGCATCAACCTATGAACCAGGAAGTCATGGTTCAATACCCAGTCAGGGCACATGCCCAGGTTGCGGGCTCAATCCCCAGTGTGGGGCATACAGGAGTCAGCCAATTGATAATTCTCTCTCATTGATGTTTCTACCTCTCCCTCTCCCTCTCTGAAATTAATACATTTTTTTTAAAAAAGAGGCTTGCCTTTGTTACAGATTGGAGGCTGCAGAATCAAAATTCAAATCTAGGTTGCTGATTCTAAAACCCAATACTCTCTTACTATAAAATAACTGCTGGGACACAGGCATTCTGCCCGTGTGTCTCTTTACCTGCCCCTCCAAACCTATCCTTACTCCTATTTTGATCCCCACCAAAGTCCATGCCCCAGAGCAGCCTTACGTGTCAATGATGAACTTGATGTTGTCATGCAGTGTGATGTCATCCCGGCCCTTGTAGGGTTGGATGTGGAAGGCCACCTGCCACAGATAGGAGATACTGGTCACGTGATTATCTGTCCAGGGGTCACAACCTATAAGGCTGATGCTCCAACAATGGCCTAGAGGAGAGGCTGAGTTCAGGAGAGGGCCCGGCAATGGTGGGCACTATAGACATAAAACAGCCACTGCTCTCAGGGCCAAGAAAGAGGGGCAAGAAGTTTGCCCACCTCCCACATCTGGGCATCACTTTTTTGGGGGGAGGGGGAGAGTCATTCTGTTGGGCTGTGGCAGGATGGCTAATAGGTTTCAACTTATCTGCCAGTTCAAGTGATTGGCATTTGATACCTAAAACTGTGGGAAGAATTATACTGAAGCTATGTCAATGGGAAATGTGCTATGACCTATTATGCATGTTGGTGATGGGCTCAGGAATGGGAGTGAGGCTCTTCTTCATCGTTGTTCTGCACAGGAGAGGAGAATGACTTATTTAATTGGTACATTTGGGGAAAATAACCGGATATGCTAAGCTCAGCTCCCTCATTCCTCTTGAAAGTAAGCCTACCTGCTGAGAACAGGTGTGCTCTGCTCCCTGAGGCCCAGCACTGCCTCCCAGAAGGAAGCTGAGGCTGGAATTGTTTGTGGGCCCATTTGGTTCTTGCCTGCCCTCTCCAGCGTCAGGGTCTCCAACTTAAACTCTATTATTTTGATATTTAGCTTATCATTTTTCCTATATTTAGTTTTCCCAACTTTTTTTCAGAACTGAAAACTTGAGTGACATAGGCAGTATTTATTAGGACCCCACCCCCAACACCACACTTGCTACTTATTTGCCATAGCCGGGCTCATGCCAAGAACTTGGGTGGAGGCACTATCCCTATGGGCAGAAGAGGGAACATCTCCAGAATGGGCCAGAGGGCACTTGATCTCTTCTTGAAGACTCACCTGGATGTTGTACTGATGGGCGGTGTCCAGAATGGCGGGCACCAGGTCATCAGAGGGTTCCCCATTATCATCAGCCATGCCAGGTGGATACCAGGACAGGACCAGGACGCCTGAAACACAACACAAGCTACTTCAGAGACACACAGCATCCCCAC